CCAACTTAGAAAATACCTTAGTACGTGTCCAGAAACCGTGGTACAGTATTACTGTGGCGCATGTCCATTGTGTTAGTACCATAGTATCATTACAAAACAGACGTATACCAGCTAACTTAGTCTAGCCAGTCAAACTCAGCATCACTTAAACAATGATGCATTATTGTGGACACACAAGCAGTGCAGAGCAAGCAGTAAAGAGCTGAAGCCTTTGTGCATGTGGACAAGTTTAGCCATAGGCTGGAAATCCCTGGAATATTTTCAATTCTCTGCTTTGCTGACAAAAGTGTGTAAAAATGATCTGATAAAACAAACAACTAGTTTGTCAACATGTACACACAAACCTCCACCTACAAGAATGATGAAAATGTGAGTCAAACATGACTAAATATTGTTTTATAACATCTTACGGCATTTTCTTTATGCGTTGTCCACCACCTGTCCTTACTGAATGCAAATAAATCTCAAGTTTAAACTAATAACTCTCAGACATTTTAACATTTTATTTCAAAATATCACCCTTTTGCAAAATTACAATCTGCAGCAACATAGAAATCCACTTTTTTTTTAGTTGAATTAAAGTAGCACTCGGACGTGTAGCATTTAGGCTTGTATTGTTTTGACATAAACTGTCTTAAGGCAATGAATTTCAAATCTTACCTGATTTGCCCAAGCCACTCTTTGCTGTCAGTAGCGCTGCTGTAGTGAAACTGTCACGGTGTATGGCAACACAGCAGGTATTTCATCACACACACACACACACGCAGTGTTTCCCTGTCAGATATCGGTCCCAGGAGGGGTGGGGCAGCATTTTAGAGCTTGCATTGTCTGTCTTTCTCCCATGTGCCGTGGTCTAAACCTGAATCTCCAGTGGCCATCAGCTAGTGTCAGTCAAATCAGCGGCTGGTAATCCCATTACCCTACACTGGGAGTCCATATGAGACAACATATGAGATGGCAGAGTCGGCGGTCCGCAACTGGACGGACATTGAAGCTTTGGCAAAAGTCACTTGTGAATAATGCATCCCATTGATGTGGTCGCCAGTGCCATCTGTCAGATGGTTGTGTCTTCTGAGTTTAGATGCGAGCAGCAGACTATATGTCTCGAGCCTTTATTTAATTTCACCTTAGATTACATCCGTTTGAAGTGGTGTTGGGTTATTCTTATTTCGGTCTAATAGTATCGCCCTGAAGGCGAAGTTTTTGTCCCGTTGCACCTGTTTGGCGTGTTTGAGCCCATGACACCTGTGATCTGAGTGATAAGGCGTTAACATGAGGTGGATGCACAGCTGTTTTTGAACAGATGATGTCAGTTTGCATGTCAGTTTCTTCATTTCAGGAAATGAGGGTTGAGTCTAAAAATGTGAAGTAAAGGTCCCATGACTTCATTTGCGGTTTGCATGCCACACATTTAAGAAATCCTGTTCTTTCCAAATCTTTTGAATCTTAATTGAGACATTTACGATGTTACAGTGAAATGATTTTCAAATAAATGCTGTTATTCTGAACTTTCTATTCATCAAAGGATCATGAATAGTTTCATCATGTTTTTAATATTGTTATTAGTAAGAAATGTTTCTTGAGGAGCAAATCAGCGTATTAGAATGATTTCTGAAAGATCATGTGACACTGAAAATAATGGCTGCTAAAAAAAACAGCTTTACCATCAGAGGAATTAAGTCGATTTTAAAATACATCCAAATAGAAAGCTGTTATTCAAAATTGTAATAATATTTCACTTTTTTTGTGTGTTTTTGATGAAATAAATGCAGCCTTTGTGTGCATAAGATACGACTTTCAAAAACAATAGCTTAACGTCTTACAGACTCCAAATTTCTGTACAGTTCAATGAAATGAAAATGGTGTAGAAACAATTTTAACCCAGAAATTGCTTGTGACATTTTACAATACAAATACATAACACATTCAATTAAACCTGAAATTTTAAAGTAAAAAAACTGAAATCGTATTTTCTTGTAAAACCACTTCTTTATTTACAACTTCAAAAAATTATTTTACAGTGCAGTGTACTTATTTTCATTGCTAGTACACATTCCTGGTTTTATTGTATGCCATTTATCAGAAATGATTATTCTGAAGAAATGTTTGGCTTCCTATTTTTTTTCAAAATGGCTACAGCTCTTACCTTTTCAACACCTATTTTTCTGCATCTTGTCATCTTGAGACAATTGTTCCAAGATCCAATCAAGTCCTCTAGGATAAGATTGACTTTGAATTGAATTTCCTGTTTCTCTCAAAAATATGCCTAATTTTGCAAGTAAATATGGCTGGGAATCTATTTTTAAGTTGACTAAATGACCAATTCCATATGTTGTTTGTTTTCAGTATGGGGCATCATTTGTGATTTCTGGAGATGACTGAAACTTTGAAGACCAGGTTTGAGTTCCCCAGCTCCCTCATTCAAGCCCAGGTAAAGCACTCAAGAACAGACTGATGACTTAAGCATTTAGAGGTAAAACAAGGTTCTGATTCCACAGCAATTCAACGAAATGCTTATCTATCCCCACTAAACCTGTCAGTCTTGAAGAAATCCATTCCTGCGAATGTGTACATTTGATTCAATCTTTGGTTTAGTTTGCTCAAGGCATGTGAAGAACCAGATTTTCTGCCTGCTCAGTAAGGAACAGCTTTTTTTGGCTTGTTTATTCTAGGCTGTGAGGACGCTGGTCACTGCAGTGCTGAAAGAGAAAGGCCAAAATGAAAGGATTTGTCAGACCACAGCTAAAGTAAGTTCTGGTGATCTTGCATATGAAGATTATATCGCATCATGGTTAGGACACATAGTTCAAATTAAACGGCCTGTTTTTGGCAGCTGCACCTTTAGGACTTCTATGTCAATGCTCCTTTGACAAGTAAAATTAATAAGAGTGTTTTATCCAGTCACTCAATGCCTAAACAGGCAGTGGT